AGCTCGCGCGGGCAACAGAGGCACGCCCAGGGGCCAGCGCAGACTGGCCCATTCCAGGACCAACGCCGACGCGCGCTTGAGCGCAAGAATCGCAGCACCACCGCAGGTGCCACCTCTGCCCGTCTCGGGCGATGCGGCCCACAAGCCATTGAAACGCACGCGCTTGCAGGGGCGCTGCAGGTCGGCCAACTTGTCTTATACAGCACGCGTTGCTTAAACCGAAAAAAAAAAAACTAGCCGCAAACTAACTTAATAAATGCATCCTTCGGAACACCGAACGACGACACGCTGGCAGCGATGATCGAGTTCGCAGCTGGCGCCGCCCGCGCCTGCATGAAACACGCACACAACAACAACCGCCACAACAATCGCAATTGTGCCTGCGCGACAGAAGGCCGCCAGGCTGCGGCGCGAATACCTGTCCTCGAACGGGGCCGCGCCCGTGGTCAAGAAAGGAGGTAGGTCTTTCACAGAATTAACCTGGTCCCGCGAGGCGACCAATGTTCCACTGCTTCCGACGCAACAATGCCTCCACGGCAGCATGGCCCGATATGCAACGGCACACACCACCTGAAACATCGCGCCACAATTAGGCGCGCGCCACCGAAGAGCGAGCTCCCGAGGCCAAGCAGCGAAGCCATCCACAGAATCAGCATGGTCCCGCGAAGTGACCGAAAATCTACTGCTGTTGGCGTAGCACTGCCTCCCCGTTCTTCTACTCTGGCGCGCTGGCCCGCGTTCGACGACGTTTAGCAAGCTGCTCGACGGCAGCGGTGAACCTGCTGGTTGCCTCCCGCACCTTCTCGTCGTCCGTGGGAGCGCTAGTGCCCGTGGCTTCCTGGGCGAAGTCACGGAGGTCGCCGGTGTCGTCGGAGTCCATGGGCACGGGGTAATCGCGGGCCTCCTGCGGCGGCGCGAAGGGCTGCTGCTGCTGCTGCTGAGGCGACGGGTCAGCAGGTCGTAGACACTCTGGCTCGGCATGGGCCTGGACATTGTCCTCCTGCTTGCGCGACGCAAACTTGTGCAGCGCTAAGAAACAAGCGGCGACCGAACCTGACAAAGTGTCGTTTGCTCCCATAGACTTGAATACCCCCCGGGCTTGTCAATGGAGAGGCCCAGCGCTGGTACCATGGCCTTGAGAGGGAGAACAGCCGCACTTCTCAAACTTGTCGGTGTTAGCCTCGAGCTGCTTCTGCTGGGCACGATACTTGTCCAGGAGCTGCTGCTGGGGCACCCGTTGCTTCTCGAGCGTTTCGGTCCTGGCGGTGTAGTGGTGTAGCTGGCCCGCATACGGCTTGCAACGGACGATCTTAGCTTTGATGCTGTCGCGTTCACCTTGGAAGTCCTGTCTGGCCTTGGTGGTGGTTGGGTCAACACAGTCGCCCAGCTGCTTGGGTAGGCTCGCAATCTCCGTGAGGCGGGCCTGGTCCTTGTCGTCGTCGTCGCGCGCAAAGGCGGCAAGGGATGATCCCGAAGAAGCCTGCGAGGATCCAGTCCGCAGCTGCTCACGCAACTTGGCGATTTCACGGTCCTTCTCGCGGAGCACATCCCTGTCCTGCTGGACTCTCTACTGCTTGGGCCTTCTCGACGACTGGGGAGCGGAAGCTGGGGGCCCTGAGCGGCCCATGACCTCCGCAGCATACTCCTTTCGTCGAATTACAAAAGGAGCAGGATGTGAGGTCGCCCCGATGCCACCACTTCTGGCCAAGAGCTGGGATGGACGCGCCAACTGCACAGCCAGGGCGGTGCCCGCGCACGGCGCTCGGCCACCCTGCTGCCGGGTGATTTGGCCCACGCGGCTGCCCATCTGCCATGGAAGACGGGAGGGATGAGGCCGCCAGGAGCCAGTACGGTGCTGGCGAATGATGGATCCTGAGTCACAAGAAAGGACAGTTTGCCGTTGGCCTCCACTGCGAGCACCGAGCAGGCGCAGCCACGTAGGAGGAGTGGCCCATCAGCTCGGAGTCCCGTCGGCTTGCGCCTCCTCGGCGTCGTTCTCGGCCTCGTGGCCATCGTCGGGGGCGCCACATGTTGCGGCATAGGTTGTGCCATAAATCTATCATAGGTTGGCCCAGAGGTTGCACTGTAGTTTGCACACTCGGTTGCAGTATAGATTGCACCATTGGTTGCGCCGAAGGCCGCCTCACATATTGCGCCATAGATTACTCCACAAGTTGCACTGCCTGTTAAACAACAAGTGTACCATAGGTCACACCATGGGTCGTGCCAGTGATTGCGCCAAAGATTGCGCCGTTGGTTGCGCAAAAAACTGGGCCACAGGCTGCGCCATGACTCGAATGGATGCGCCATGGGTTACACAGAAGGGTGCAGCTGCACCACTGGTTGCGCCGAAGGTCGTCCAACCAATTGTACCATACATTACTCCACAAGTTGCACCGTCTGTTAAACCACACGTGTACTATAGGTCACACCATGGGTTGTGCCAGTGGTTGCGCCAAAGGTTGCGCCTTTGGTTGCGCAAGAAACTGCGCCACGGGCTGCGACGGAAATGCACCATAGGTTGCGCCAATGGATGCGGAATGGGCTACGAAATGGGGTGCATCATACGTGCACTATCGGCTGCTCCGCAGGTTGTGGCCTTTGGTTGGGCCACAGGTTGCACGATGGGTTGCGACTTATGTTGCGCAATAGGTTGAGCCATGGGTTGTGTAATAGGTTGCGCCGCCGATTGCGACCTATGTTGCGCCCTTGGTCGTCCAAACTTCGAACTGATGCCAGTGGTTGCACCACAGATTGCATCCATGGCTGCAGACGATACGACCCGAATGACAAAAAACAGCAAAAACATGAACGTCGGATGTCCGCGATGATTTCTTGGACTAGCGCTGGACTCCCCCTGCGGTGCTTCTGGCGCCGCCCCTGACATGGTGCGCTCCCCGCGCCAGGGAGGGGGGGGTCCAGCGCCGATCCAAGAAATCTGCGCGGACCTCCTGAAGGTTATGGTTGTGCTACTTGTTGTTCCCCGAACTGCATCGGCGTAGAGGCCCTAACGCCAACGCTGCGTGATGAGACACATGGTCGGCACGGCAACTGTCTCGCACTCTTGAAGACCAGGCACGGCACGGCACGCCAACCTTTCCGCATCCTGAAAACCCGGCACGGCATGGCAGGGCACGGTAAGCGGGCGCGGCGCGCCACGGCGCGGCGACCCATCCTCTCTCGAGACCAAGCACGGCACACGGGGAAGGCCGGCACGGCATGGCAACTTGTTCAAACATGGCACGGCGCGACAAAACACGGCGGCATACGTACGCCAACTCCGGCACGTCACGGTCACGTTGTCGCGTTCTGAAGACCAAACATGGCACACCACGGCACGGCAACTTCTGGCAATCGGAAAATCAGGCACGGCACGGCAAGGGAAGACGCGGCACGCGCGCGGTATCTTTGCGTGATCTCCCAAGCCAAAGCACATGCTGAATGCAATCCGGACGCCTTACAGCGTGCGCGGTGTAAGGAAAAAACTTCTGCTAACGGGCGAGACCAGATCAGTCAGGTCCACTTCAGCCAGGCAGCCAGGGACTTCACCAAAAAGCGACTCGGGCTGCTGGCGGATCTCTGACGTCGGCGGGCCCCACAGGCCTTCGGCCCCGTCGTTCGCACGAACTTCGCACCGTGGGCTGCGCTCTGTGGGCCTGGGGCCCCAGGTCAGGCCCACACTGCAGGCCCACACTGTTGGGGGCCTCGTATTTGGCACCCACACCGACACAGCGGGTTCCCCCCACCAGGGAAAGAAGGCCGATGCATTCTGGTGCTGGCGGTCATCTCTCGAGCACCTCGGACACCCGAATCTGACCACCATCACCGAGAATCCGCCGACCCTGTCGGCGTGTGTGAGGGGCTTTTCCGTTCGAGCCGTCATCTCCGTCATTCTTTGTACTCGTCGTCTCTGTCCTTCCCTTTCCCTGGGAGACCTCTTCCCCTGGGCTCCAGCCAAGCCGACCTTGAGCAACCTCGTAATTGAGTCGAAGGGAAGCCCCTTCCCTTTGATCCCTCCCCTCTTCCCCTGGGCTCCAGCCAAGCCGACCTTGAGCAACCTCGTAATTGAGTCGAAGGGAAGCCCCTTCCCTTTGATCCCTCCCCCGCCGGGAGGGGGGGGGGGTAGCGACCCCCCCCCGGGTCAGATACGACGCCCCCCCCTGGGACTCCTCTTCCCCTGGGCTCCAGCCAAGCCGACCTTGAGCAACCTCGTAATTGAGTCGAAGGGAAGCCCCTTCCCTTTGATCCCTCCCCCGCCGGGAGGGGGGGGGGGGTAGCGACCCCCCCCCCGGGTCAGATACGACGCCCCCCCTGGGACTCCTCTTCCCCTGGGCTCCAGCGAAGCCGACCTTGAGCAACCTCCGAAGGGAAGCCCCTTCCCTTTGGGGGGGGGGGGGGGGGTACGACCCCCCCCCCGGGTCAGATACGACGCCCCCCCCTGGGACTCCTCTTCCCCTGGGCTCCAGCCAAGCCGACCTTGAGCAACCTCGTAATTGAGTCGAAGGGAAGCCCCTTCCCTTTCATTCCTCCCCCGCCGGGAGGGGGTAGCGGGGGGGGGTAGCGACCCCCCCCCGAGTCAGATACGACGCCCCCCCCCCGTACCGACCTTGAGCAACGTCGTCATTGAGTCGAAGGGAAGCCCCTTCCCTTTCCCTTCCCCGACGGGGGGGGGAGAGGAGGTCCCGGGGGGGGTCCCGGGGGAGTCCCGGGGAAGTCCCGGGTCAGATACGACACCTCCCTCCCCCACCTTCTCGTCCTTCTCCCCGTTCCCCCAAACCATCCCACAGCCCGTGCCTCTTGCTGCGCATTGCGAACAGGGTCGGCGGCACCGGCCGTCAGGCCTTCGCAATAGGATTCATCTTCCCTCGGAGGCGGCAGCCACCGATACTGGTGCTGGTGACACCCTCGTAGGCCTCCGACACGAAAGGTGTTTACCCTTGAACGCCCGCGCCAGCACTGCTGCCGCACCAGCACTGCGCATCTCTGGCGGCGGGGGCGGC